GCCACTTGAATGTTACAACAGACAATTCACAAAATGGGTCCTGAATGCAGTGACGACGCGTAAGCTCTGTTTATATAAATGTCTTATATGGACGCCGTTCCTCAGTTTCAGATACCTTCGTGTATCTTTGCCGATAATACACTCACTAATTAAGGGTCGCTTTGTTCGGGTCACGCGCGTCATTCTCTAATATTATGGAACTCGATATATTTAAGCGACCCAAAACGTAGGTGTTTAGGTAGTCACTTATGACGGTTTGGTGTTCGGGTTTATCGTTCTCGAGCACGTTTTCTCAATATGACTGAAGATTCTGAAACTTATAAGCTTTGGAGGATCAAGAAAACGATCCTCAAAATGTGCAGGGATAGGGGTTATCTGGTTATGCAGAAAGAATTAGATCAAACTCTTGATGAATTCAAAGAGAGCGTCGGTGATCCGCCCAGCCGCAAAGATTTATTAATGGTCGTAAATCATGAAGAAGATCCCGCTGATATGCTCTATGTCTTCTTCCCAGAAGAGGAAAAAGTCAATATGAAAACGATTCGGGCGTACGTAGATCAAATGCAACAAGATCACACATACAAAGCCATTCTTGTTTTGCAGGATCGTGGATTAACGCCGGCAGCGAAGACAGTAAGTCTGACATTTTTTCTCAAGTCGTAGGCCATCGCCGAATTATCGTATAAATATACCCTTGAGTGTTTTTTCGAAAACGAATTAATGGTTAACATTACGGAGCATGAATTGGTACCACAGCACATCGTTCTTACTCAAGAAGAAAAGAAGGAATTGCTTGATAGATAGTAAGTTCTGTACATTCTTCAAGTTATTTGTAAATAGTCGTCTTAAGGAAAGTCAGTTACCGAAAATGCAAGTTAGTGATCCTGTTTCTCGGTATTACGGACTTCGTCGGGGGCAAGTTGTTCGAATAAATCGACCTTCTGAAACTGCGGGACGTTATATAACCTACCGAATTGTCGTGTAATTCATGAGCAAAGTATTTGTAACTATATATTTCTGTTATTTGTCGTTTGTTCTTCTCGATGGTATTTATTCACCCTATCAGACTCTTTCTAGCGGCAATCAAAGTCATCGTAAATGTGCCTATTTCTTTGATAGAACTGTACTAGCCTGTGTCTAGTCCTATATTATTAGTTCAGGTTTGGAGGTGTGTTTGGCTAATAACGTCAGCATCGATGACCATCACGCG